GCCAGAAGACCCCTCACAGGGGCAGTTTTTACTCAACATCTTACTCTGTACAGTATGTGAAGTAAATCTGAGGTACTTACCTAAGGGTTTTTGTTATCTTTGCCACAGGTAGCAATCTCCGTACACACTCCTCTGATGTAGCATATTCTCTCATGTTGAATACATCAATCTCTTTTTCAGACAGCAGTGAGAAATAGGTGAGTGCTGAACACTGGGAAGGTGAAAGACTTTGTCTTGAAAGTTTTGTTTTATCCAGAGTCACTTTGAACTTGTCTATTAAAGACTTGTCCTTCAGTTCACTCAGACAGTGAAAAAGGTTGAGGCATCTTTCAGGAGAGGAAGTTTCTCTAATGAGTTTCTTGATGAATTCTGCTGTTTTCTGGATGTCACTGGAGTGATCTTTAGTGTGTGACAGGAATCCCTTCAGAAGCTCCTGGTTGTTCTCCATTTCCATTCCCAAGAGGAATCGGACAAACAGATCAAGGTGACCAGTCCTGCTCTGGATAGCTCCTTCCAGGGCAACCTCATTCAGGCTGAATAGAGATATTCTTCCCAACCAGGAAACACCCAGAACTGTTTTCTTTAGTGGGTTAATATTATTGTTTTGATAGGAACCAAAAACATACAGAGCTGCAAAATACTCCTGGACTGTCAGGTGTAAAAAGCAGTATACTTTTTTCCGAAACAAGGCTGAATTTTGTTTGAATATTTCCTTGCACACCCCTGAGTAAAGAGAAGAGTTGTTGAGATCAATGCCATATTCTCTCAGATCTTCTTCATAAAACACAATAATGTTTTTCTTCAGACTATTAAATGCCAACTTTCCCAGTTTCATAATTGCTTTTTGATTTGATTTGAAGACATTTTCTTTCATTTCTGTCTGTTCCTTTGCTGTGAGTAAGACAATGAGAAAGTATGTATAGAAATCTGTCAGTGTTGTTGGATTGGCCCCACTGCTCTCTTCCAGTGTGTGCTCCAGAACAGTAACTACAATCCAGCAGAAAACAGGAACATAGCACAAAATGTAAACACTCCTCAGTGTCTTTATATGTGAAACAATTTTCTCTGCTAGAGCTCTGTTCTTACACTTCTTTCTGATGTACTCTTCCTTCTGCTGGTCTTCAAACCCCTGGACCTCTGTCACCCTGCCGATGAGCTCTGGAGGGATCAGACCTGCTGCAGCTGGTCTGGAAGTGATCCAGATGCAGGTGTCAACAGGAAAGTTTCCCTTGATGAGGTTTGTTAACAACATGTCCACTGAAGTCGTCCTTTTCACATCAGACCACCTCTGGTTTGTCTGAAAGTTTAAAGGATGTCTGCTTTCATCCAGACCATCAAAGATGAACAGGACTTTGTGGCCATCAAAAACATTATCAGAGGATTTTATCTCTGGACAGAAACACTGAACCAGCTTCTGTAAACTCATTTTTAATTTGATCAAGTTTAATTCACGGAATGGAAGAAAAAATATGAAGTCAAAGTCCTGGTTGTCTTTTCCAGCAGCCCAGTCGAGAATGAATTTCTGCACAGAGAATGTTTTCCCGATGCCAGCGACTCCCTTCATCAGTACAGTCCTGATGGGTCTGGTCTGTCCTGGCAGTGGCTTGAAAATATC